GAGGGTCTTAAGGAAATCAGTACCTAAGACCCGATAACATCACCTCAAAATCAGTCCTATGAGAAGTTGAAAGCATGTTCCTCCGGATTTAAGAAATTCTTGCAACCATTTCTATTTTTTCCTGAAAGAAGCCGAGTCTGAATAACTCTCATATCAGGCTGCTACAGCAGCTTGGAGAGAGGAGTGCCTAATACCTAAACTCAAAATCTCTTGGTTGTGTGCCTTTCCCATGGAAAACGGAGTCACTATCAAAGACTTAAATCGATTTTTCATAGTTGAAAAATGAGGGCCCATTTCCTCTAAAAAATGGGTGGCGACTCTAAATCTTTTGAGCAGGCCATGAGCTTCCCAGAGTTCACAGACAGTCTTCAAGCAAAGGCAAAAGAGATCCTTATATTGAAATCATAAAAGATACCAAAGCTTAAATCAAAAGGCATAAACTAACTACAAACTAAGAATAAAAAAACAAAGCTATTAATCAACACTACTACTCAAAAAAAGGATTTGCAAGTTATAGGGGAAAGTATCCATTTTTTGGGTACTGGCAACAAGAACGAAGGGAACGATGAATAGTTAGGGGGATCAAAGGGGTGTAATAGAGAGAGAGAGAGAGGGTGGGTGGTCGGAGTAGAGATTAGAAGGAAGAAAAACTTCCACCTCCCCTATTTGGTCGTGTATGGGCCTGATTTGAGTTCAGAAGGTTAGAGGAAAGAAGCAGGAGAATTCGCATGGATTTGGGTGATCTGGGAGAATTAGAGAGAATAGATAGGGGTTATCGTCGCCATATTGAGTGTTAAAAGGTAAGGGGCAGTGAACAGTGTAAATTATCTTGAATTGAAAACCTTAGGTTATATTTAAATGTTAGGTTGGGGAGATTTTAGTAATTTTAGGAAAGTTTAGGGGTAGTTTGGTAATTTTAGGAAATTTGGTGGTAGTTTGGTAATTTTAGGTTTAAATGGGTCAAATTGAAATTCTGGTTTAATGGTGGGGATTTGGGTTAAAAGAATTAAGGGTGGAGATGGATCTCAAATTACAAAGTGGTTTTGTGTATATGGACTAATGAGATTAGCCAAAAATGGAATCTTTTTAGATGAGTAGGCAATCATGGGTATTTTTGGCTATTTATAGAATGGAGTTTTTGAACGTTTAAAGTTGATTAGTGGGGTCAGATTAGCCCAACTGAGCCCATATTAGGCATATCTGAATGGGTTGATTCAACTAGTGTAGGATGTTGTTAGCACCCGATTTTTGCTTAGTCCATCACCTGAACCTCCAATTCACCCCCAAACACCTAATCAAACCCTTCCAACCTCTTTGAAACATCCAAAACCCCAAAAACCCAACTTTTAGCCCCAAAGCCTTTAAATCCACTGTTAAACCCACCCGATACCTATTTGATGGCCCTGATCAACCTCCATTTACACCTCAACCATTAGATCAGACATAACCATCAAACCTAGGACCTCCCAAAATACCTACCCATGAAATTTTAGATCAAGATTCCTTAATTTACCCTTTCATCAAGCAAAGATTCCATTTTGGTCGATCTCGTTAACCTAAACACTCAGAAGCCAAATTTCCTTGATCTTGATACATTTGAGCCGATCAAAACACACCATTAAAGGTTTGACAAATCAAAACACCTGCCCATAAAGTTTTAACCCTAGATTCCCCCATTTGTCCATCCATCAAACAAAGATTTTGTTATGAAATATCTTATTGACCTATATTTCTCCGATCTTGACCCCCTTCAACCAATTAGACATAATCATCAGATCCTGGACACCCCAAATACTCACCTGTGAAATCTCAGCCCAAAATACCTCTGTTCACCTTTTAATTACACCAAGATTCTATTTCAATATCATAGATTGACCAGATTCCATGTCCTTCCGATCCTTGCCCATTTGACTCAATCAAACCTTACCAATCACCTCAAACTACCCAGAAATCCTACCTTGTGAAATTTCATCCAAAATAGACCTTATTTGCCCCTCAATCACATAAAGATTTTGTTTCGAGGCCCTAGATTAACTAAATCAAACCCTTTCCAAATCTGCCCAATTCGGGACCCGTTAGGCCAATCTGATCCCATCAATCAACCCAGAATGCTTAAAAACCCTACCTTGCCAAATTTTAGCAAAAAATGCCCTCATTTATCCTTCCATCTGAAAAGATTCCGTTTTAGTCAATATTGTTAACCCATAGATACAAACCCCCCTCTGATGTCAGACACAAACCACCAATTGCCATTGTTTGTCGCTAAGACAACTTGACCAGACCACCATTTCCAACAACGAATTCAAACCCCTCCACCTCTGGTGGTGGAACTCATCTCCAATATCCTGAAATCGACCAAAATCTCCTCTATGTTCATTATTAATCTCATGATCAAGCTCTATGAAGTATGAAGAAGAATGGTGCGCACCCGTAGCAAATCTGTATTCTCGTTCCCCTGCTCCATCAATTCATTCTAAGGCCAAAATCCCAACCCAGGTAAGCTCATCACTGAGATTTGTTAGTTTGTTTAATAGTTTCGTTATGTCTGTGATATGAGAGGGAGAAGGAAAACTGACGGAGCTGGTTTTCTCAAATCAACTCCTGTAAGTTACCGGGTACCGACCTGGATCTACTATAATTGTTCTTTTTGTTTGACAATACCATGATGATGCCGAGATGGTCGTATTTTGATAATACCATGAAAATGCTAACATTTGCTAATTTGCTCTTCTGCTCTGTTGCTAAGGTAATACCTTGGTAATGCTTAGATTTGGTTGATTTGGTCTCTTGTGTTTTAAATCTAGTTAGATGACATGTTTTATAGAATTTGAATCTTGATGGTTGTCTGTCATGTTTGCCTTGTTCAAGAGTCAAGACTGAGATAATATTGTTGTTTTATTTGGCTGTTGAGAGATGTAATTTGGATGAATGAACCCAACGGCTACTAGTTTTGGATTCCATGGATTGGAACGAAGGCAAAGTAATCAAAATGATAATAGATAAATAAATAAGTAGTGTTTGATTGTCTTATGTTAGTTCATTCTTGTTTTGTCTCACTTGCTAGTGTATTTGTAGTTAATTAAAGTAGTATTTGTGCATGCTCACACTTGAATGGAATTCCCATGTTCCCCAGTTATTGGACCCGGGAGAGGGGCGCCTAACCCCTTCCCTCTCCCATCCGAGTCTTACTTGGACTGGTTTAACCGGTGCCTCAGGTTGATGGAGTCATTGTTGAACTAACATATCTTTGAAAACCATTCTCGGAGGTCCCATCACCTCAATTTTTGTAACTGATGGGTGGCGACTCCATTTCCAGCCCAAGTGGCTACTGAGCCATTTTCCTGATGCTCACAGGTGTCAAAATAGAATATTTGTGTGAAGGAGGGGAAATCAAGGGGTATTTTTGGGTGAAATTTTGTAATTATGGTCTTTAGGGTACTCAAGATTGGATGATAATGTCTGATTGGCTTGGGGGGATCAAGATCATGGAAAGTTGTGTTAATAAGAGAATTCAGAATGGAATCTTAGCTTGATTGAGGGCTAAATGGGAGAGTTTTGGATTGAAACTTTATAAGTAAATGTTTTGGTATGGGTTCAATCGTATGGCCTAATTGGTTTAGAGGTGTTCGAATGAAGGAGGAATCCTGGGTTGATGGTGTGTATGGCCTAATTTCATGTGTAGGTGCTTTAGTATATTTGGGGTTTGATGGTGGTGTTTGATCTAAGGTTCAAAGTGTAAATGGGGGTAAATTGAGGTTACCCGATTAGGATCGGGCAGGTTTAATAGTGGATTTAAGGGCTTTTGGGTTAAAATTTGAGTTCTTTTGGTTTTTTATTATTTCGGGAAGATCAAAAATATTTGATTAGGCATTTAGGGTGAATTGGGGATTCAAGCGGCGAACTAAACAAAAATTGGGTGCTAACAATTGTTTAGTTGTAATATTAGATCTTAAGATAAAATTATAAGGTGTAAATGTAATACTTAATTCATATAATTAAAATATGCAAATAGATATAGGTAGACAAAAAGAAAAAAATAAAAAAAAGTTTAATATGTATAATTTATATGAATTTAAAATTAAAAAAAAGGTTGAGTGCCACTTCCTAAACATAGTAGTAGTGGTACCATATTAGGTAGAGCTAAGCTGTGGTCCATAGGGGCATTGTTCGTCATCTTCCTTTACTTCAAGTTCATCTTTTAGTGAACTTAATTTTTATTTGCAAAATAATATTATAAATTTTCAAACATATGCAGAAATAGAAAAATTAGATATTTTAGCTTGGTGGAAAAGCATAGGAAAATAATTATCATATGTTAACTGCTATGACACATAATCTTCTAATCCCACTAGTGTCCATAATAACATTAGAATCTTGTTTTAGTGGAGGAAATAGAGTGCTAGATAAGAGGAGTTGGATGCCAAATGAAACATTGGAGATGTGTATTTGTTCAAAAGATTGTTTGAATGTATCATCATAAGAAGAGGAAAGTGAGACTCGAAGAACATTTCTTAGATTATTGTAAATTTTGAGATTTTCAATTTTCAATTTTATTTGCATCTTGTAAGTTATTAATTTGTAATTTTTTTTTTCAATTCCATTGTAATTTTTTTTTCAAATTTATTATCACATTTTTCAATTTTATTTTATTTTTTAATTCATTTTATCATTTTATATTTTTATTGAATGAATCAATTATTCATATGGAATAAAATTTTGAGATGATTTTTCCTTCAAAATTTTATTATTTTTTATAATTTTTGAGTTTTTGATTTTTTTTTTTTGTTATAAATGAGAACAAAAAAGAAGAGAGAAAATCTGAAAATGAAATAATACAGGCCGGCCCGGCCAAGGCCTGTTGACTACTGGCCCAGGCCAGCATGGGCCGTGCCAGCACGGCCTGCTACAGTGCGGGCGGTACGAAAATGCGTGGACGTGCCGGCCCACATTTCACCGGCGTTTTGACATTTACACACCAACACACACCCCTCACCTCAAGGGATTCTCTCTTTGACTTGCTGTGTCTCTTATCTGTTTTTGCTTTGACAGTATTTCTGTAATTTACTAATGTATTTTGGTCGGTTGCTGGGTTTTGATGCGATCAATGAAGTTGACCCTTTTAGTGGAGAACCAAACTGTGTTTTGGACCTCACTGATACTGGGCAATGGAGGACAGAACAGAGAGGAAACTGATTTTTTCTGTTAATGGTGAGAGATTTGAGCTCTCCTCCATTGATCCTTCTACCACTTTGCTTGAATTCTTGCGTTGTCGGACTCGTTATAAAAGTGTTAAGCTTGGTTGTGGAGAAGGTCAGTTGTTTTTCTATTTTCTTTTCTCTTACTGACCTTAAATTTTTCTTGCTTCTAGTTTTATGATGCTTCGGTTGGTTTTTGAAGTTTTGATTAGTTTGGACGGTGAACACATGTTTTTCATGCTTTATTTGTTTAGAGGATAGGTGTTTGCAGAATAGGTCCAGTTTCTCTGGTTTCTGTACCCATAAATGAGATGGGGAGGCCCTATTTTGCGTTACGCTGTATGACTTTACCTTCCCTCTTCTAATCTTACTCTTGTCTCCTCCGCCGGCCTCCGCAATTTCTTCCACCGAACAACGAAACATTCAATTCCGCTCTGTGTTGAGGCCATTTGATGGAACCTTGGTCCTAAAGTCAGGGTTTAGTGAGTGTTCTTTTGCTTGTGGCATCCAGTTGGCGCTTCTGTAGTGCAAATCATATATGCCGTGATAGGTTGCAGATGAGTGCAGTTGTAAGTGTCCGCTACATCGAGCAAAAGTTGCGTCTCACTATAGTTTCAGTGAAGTTCTTCTGAATTGTTGAAAAAGGTGCGCTTAGGCTTTGAGTAGAAAGGTAAAATGTATGGGAGAGCGGGTTTCCATGGATTTAGGAAAGCTCAATCAAAAGAAGCATGGATACACATTTTTAAATTATTGTCTTGTTCTAAATCTCTAAACAAACCTAAGAAACTAAGGTTATAAACAAAAGCATATGTTTGAAATGCCCCATAAACCTTAAGATTTAGAGCTCCATGATAGAATGAGTTAAAGAAAAATTTAAACTCATAGAAAATGTAAAGAAGCATAGACACCTTTTAAATTATTATGCTGCCTCTAAACAAAGCTAAGAAACTAAGGTTATAGACAAAAGAATATGTCCTTAAATTGTCCCATTTACCTTAAGATTTAGAGCTTCATGATAGAATGAGTTAAAGCAAAATTTAAACTCATAGAAAATGTAAATAATCTGCAAATTTAGTTACTATTTTTTTTTACTTTGTTTATGAAAGATATGCAATCCAAAACTGGATGTGTTAGGGAACAGGGGAGCCAACAAAAGGAAATAAATGTATATTCTAGAAGAGAAAGGAAGAGGCCATGTCAGCAACAACCTAACTAATTGAGCAACTAAATCAAGTTGCCAAGTTGACAGAGGCAGTCAGCAATCTATTAATTGGTTGAAGAAATTAGTCACATGTAATAAGAATCAGTACAAAAAGAGAATATGTACAGAACTGAGAATATGAGAAGAAGTCTGGATTTCTTTTTATTCTCTCTCTCTCTCTCTCATTCTTGATGGAGGTAGCTTCACCTTGAAGATGATCTTGTAACTCATTCAACTTTGAGTTTTGGGTTCAATCCCTTGTTTCCATAAAAAAGAGAATGGCAAAAAGGAAATGTGGGAAATCTTTGGTGATACTGTTCTAATGTGGTCCTTAGTTATTACACTTTTGATTGAAATTAAATATGCATGTAGTAATGCCTTTGGCTTAAAAAAGGTTTTATTTTTTTTCCTTTTTTCTGTTTTATTTTATTTTTTACTTTTTTTTGGTTCAGTTGGATGGATTTCCACCCCACCTTATGGACATGAATTATTTGAATCCAATTTTCTTTTATAGAAAATGGGTTTATATTTTAACATTTCTCTTCCTTTATGTTATATTTCATTTGGATATCTATAGTATCTACTGTAATACAGTGGCCTTTAACATTGATTGCTTCCACTGGTCTTGGGCTCTTCTCATTCCTTTTCTTTCTATTGACAAATTTATCCTCATAGTAGTTATTTGTTTAAAATTTCCATATGACAATTCCCTATTCTGTTGATCTTTTGTTCTTTGGTCTGCTAGTTTTGAATTTCATGAATGAAATTTGGAATTTCACTTCTCTTTTCAATTGGAAGATCTATTTGTTCTATTGAATGCAACTTATTGTTCATTACTTCTATGATACTAGTATCTGATTAATTTGTTATGTTTCTTGTTTCTTTTTTCAACCTTTTCTTTTGTTATTGAAGACATGGGCATATAATTTCTCAAATTCTTTTGAGATCAATTGGAGGAAACATATTGCACTATAAATTTCAGTCTGGTATTTTGCTTGCAGGTGGTTGTGGTGCTTGTGTTGTCTTGTTATCAAAGTATGATCCTGTTCTTGATCAAGTTGTGGACTTCACAGTGAGTTCATGTCTAACTCTTCTTTGCAGTTTACATGGATGCTCTATTACAACTTCAGAAGGCCTTGGAAACAGCAAGGATGGGTTCCACACAATTCATCAAAGGTTTGCTGGTTTCCATGCTTCACAATGTGGATTCTGTACTCCTGGAATGTGCATGTCCCTTTTCTCAGCTCTCCACAATTCTAAGAAGTCCCCAAGGCCAGATCCCTCTCCTGGGTTCTCTAAGCTTACAGTGTCAGAAGCGGAGAAGGCCATCGTCGGCAACCTTTGCCGGTGCACAGGTTATCGATCAATTGCTGATGCTTGCAAAAGCTTTGCAGCTGATGTTGATCTGGAGGATCTGGGTCTCAATTGCTTTTGGAGAAAAGAGGAGAACATGGATGCTAATGCTAAATTAAGTAAATTGCCCCTCTATACTCATAGTGATCAGATATGTTCCTTTCCCAAGTTTTTGAAACAGGAAATCAAATCCAAAACCCTTATTTATTCCAATGGATATTCTTGGTATAGTCCTGTTAGTGTTCAAGAACTTCAGAGTCTATTGGAAACAGATGAAGCTGAGAATGGAACCAAGGTGAAATTAGTTGTTGGAAACACAGGTGTAAGCTACTACAAAGAACCAGAGAAGTACAATATGTACGTAGATTTAACACATATCCCTGAGCTCTCTATGATAAGAAAGGACAGCAAAGGAATTGAAATTGGAGCAGCTGTTACAATCTCTAAGGTTATTCAAGTTTTGAAGGAAGAGAGAGAAGGTGGGCTTCATTCAAACAGAGAAATGATATTTAAAAAAGTTGCTGATCATATGGATAAGGTTGCATCAGAGTACATCAGAAACACAGCAAGTTTGGGTGGAAATTTGGTAATGGCACAAAAGAACCACTTTCCTTCAGATATTGCTACAATACTTCTTGCTATGGATTCAACAATAGTTATGCAGACTGGTTCAAAAAGACTAGAAATTACACTTGAGGAATTCTTGCAGGGTCCACTGTTCAATTCTAAAACTGTGCTTCTAAGTGTTAGAATCCCAAGTTGGGAATCAGAAAGAAGAGTTTCATCTGAAATAAAAACCAAGATGCTATTTGAAACCTTTCGAGCTGCGCCACGCCCACTTGGGAATGCTTTGCCATACCTCAATGCTGCTTTTCTGGCACAAGTTTCAACCTGTGAAAATTCTCATCATATTATTCTTGAAAACATTCATTTGGCTTTCGGTGCTTACGGGAGTAAACTTGCAACAAGGGTAAGGAAGGTTGAGGAATTTTTGGCTGGAAAATTGCTTAGCTACAATATTCTATTTGAGGCTATTAGCTTACTTAAAGCAACTGTGGTGCCTGAAAAGGGCACTTCCTATCCTGCTTATAGAACAAGTTTGGCTGTTGGTTTTCTATTTGATTTTCTTCATCAACTAGTAGAAGCTGATGCTGACATTCCCAGTGGTGGCCTGAATGGGTTTGTTTATGCTTTGCCTAATAAGTTCTCTGGACCTGAAAGTAGTAACTTTCATATTCGAAGACCAGCTCTGCTCTCATCTGCAAAGCAGGTGGTGGAGGTTAACAGGGAGTATCATCCTATTGGTGACCCAACTAAGAAAGCTGGGGCAGAAATCCAAGCTTCTGGTTTGTTGCACCTAATTAAGTATCTTATTTCATCACTATAATTGATTCTTTGCTTTCTTTTATTTTTCCAATCTAAATTCTTTTAGTTGAGATTATTGTGTCATATGACCAATTCTATTCACAAGCAGTAATAATGTCAAGGACTGTTGAATCACAGGAAAATGTGATCAGTGGAGTTTTGTGCAAATTCATAGGTATAATTTGGTTTTAAGCATTGTTCTACTTGATTGTCATAGAATAAAAAGAAATCTGAAATTTGTAATAGAGTTAAAGAATGGAAGAAAAGATGATCAAGATTATAGGAGAAGAATAAAAGAGAGAAAGGAGAGAAAAACACTGCAAATCCATAGGTATAATGACTTGTTAAGCTTACATACTCTACCCCTTGACACATCACTGTAAAATCTGAGTGGCAGGACCATGTAAACTTCATGTTGCAGATCACCATTTAAGAATGTTTTCTTCACATTAAGCTAATAAAATGACCAAGAGTAATGGGAAGCAAGTGACAATTACACTATATTCTTCACATGAAGCTCTTGATGTTCTCAATCACGAACAAGATCAATTACGACTCCCAGAATTAAGGTTGGGGAGATGGAATCCCCTTGTTGGGGCTTTGAGAAATATGGGGCCTTCAAGTTTCGTATGGATAAATGTTTTTGGTATTCCTTTGCATGCTTGGAGCTTTCAAACATTCAGGGCTGTTGGAGATGCATGTGGTAGTTTCAGGTTCGTTGATCCAAGAAACATTGCGTGGAAGGGTCTTTCTTCTGCACATATCTTAATTGAGGTGGAGGAAATACATCTTGTCCCAGCTTCATTGCTGCTTCATTTTGGTGGAGAACCTTTTGACTTAAGAGTTGTGGTGGAAGGGACTTACCCTGGTGGGTGGCTAGAATTTTTAGCTTTGTGGAAGGAAGAGTGGAGTGCCTTTTCTTCATCGGCTGGGATGAAGATGTCGATGGGCAGGAGGAAGTGTTTGAAGGGGAAGACTAGGGTTTTGTTTTCGCTTGGCTTTATAAGCTTTCAATGCAGGAGGGCATTGTGGAGCTGATTGAGGGTCTAGTCCTAGAGGTGCTTTTGTTTTTCCTTAGACGGCTGTAGTTTGTCTTGTCATGTATTAGGCTTTGTCTCAGTTATATTTCCTTTCTCTCGGGTGATATTTTATCGCCTTCCTCTTGTATTCTCTTTTTGTTTTTTCTAATGGAATTTTATTTTTACTTTTCAAAAGAAAAAGAGGATCCTAGTTGAGGTTAAGGACATTGTCAATGTTCTAGATAGAATGGTTCTGGAATTTGCAGGAGAACCTTATGAATTGAGAATAATAATTGAGGGGTTGATGGATCATTTAGGAAGGAGAAGGAGGAGGCTTCATTGGACAGAAGAATAGTTGCAGAAGAGGGGGCGAAAGGAGGAGTGCTGGGAGATGGAGGGTTGCCAGGCTGTAGGATAGGGGAGAAGGCAGAGAAGGAAGGGGAGTCAAGAAGTCGCTTGGAAGAAAGAGGAGGTGATGAGTTGGCATCACCTATCAGTAGGGGGGTACAGGTGGATAAAGATGGATTGAATGGCTCAAGTGAGGAAAGACAGGTGTCGGGTAGGGAGAGTGAGTTAAAGGGAGATCAAGAGTCAAGAGAGGGGATAGATAAGGGAGGAGTTGGAGAACAGGTGGTAACTGGTAATGCTAATGCTACACAAAAGTAAGGGGGGGGGTGGGGATTGAAGAAAACTGAAGAGAGGAGAGCTGAAAGTTCGGCAATGAGGGTCTGAGAATGAAAGTTTCGAACCTACACTCTCTCAACACCCTAACACTATTTTATTAAGATATATTTGAATAATTACAAGGAGGCCCTTAGTTGGGCAAGAATTTACAAAGAACTTAATATAGACAGGATGGGCCCAGAATAAGGCCCATTACAGAAAAACATAAATAACAAGAAAGAATAAACAACCTATGGGCCATTCGGCCCATCTTCTCTACACTC